GACTTTTTCAACATCAGACGCCATTCAAGTACTGTCATTCCATTGCCATGCGGCGGTCAAAACCAATGCAAATCTAATTATCCAGTCCTTCATATCTGTCGTTTGTGAGCACAATTTTCATATGTGACGGCCGTCAATTGGTTATCAATCCATGGCGTGCAAGGTACGATTACGTATTCAAGCAATGACGCATTGAGGGGCATATTAACTAAACCGATGAAGTATGCTGTCTAGAATAACCTTTACCCCGTAAAAGCATACCAACAGCTATCAATGAGTTTATATCGTCATAACAGTTATAAGCGAGGTTATCTCATCATATCTGATGCTTGCTTCAATATCTGCAAATGTGAAACATTCCCTTTAACTGAACCTCTAACCATCTGGATTATGCCTTCTAAAAGCGCGAGATTTTCTAAAACTCCGGATCCAGCACCATGCCGGCATCACCCTGAATCCACGGATACTGACGCCGAGCTGGCGCTTTTGCTGCTGCCGCCATAGACATTAGCTTTCAATGTGTTTTAAACAGTCCAACATTTCAGAACACCGGCGTAGCTCCATCGTTGCCAGTCCAGGCCCGGCAGATACAGCTCGTGCGCCGCCTGTCAGAGGCGACGGAGCTCATCAGGGGGTCGCAAGAGTAGCTGTGCCCGACTAAATGGTCAGAGAAGACAAGCTTTGCAAGACTGTCAAATTATGAAAGCAGATAATTATGGCAATTTGCGCATACCATGAGTGTGTGTCCCTGCTAGCAAAAGACCTACCGCTGCTATTGCCTTCGGTATTTAAGTACCGCCTGCTGGTGTGATGCACATCATGCATCGGTACTCACGCGTTGTTGAAAACGCCGGCCAAACCATCTACCGTTAGTCTTCCTCCCCAGCCGCTTCGTTGGTCCGCCTCTGTCATGCAATAACACGTCTTTTTGTGGTGTCTGGACCGCGCGCCAGCCGCTGACCCGCCCCCGACAGCGGCGCAGTGCAGCCGCAGCCCGGCGGTGCCGCGCCGTCTGCCCGTGCGGCCACACCCCTCCGCTGCGGCGTAAACAGAGCGCGGTCTGGCGGCGGCCGCGGCCGACGCCACCCACAGCGCGGGCGCCGCCGGCACCGTGGCCAGAGCGGAGCGCGAGCGGCGCGCCTGTTGTGCTCGGGCGCGCTCACGACGCGGGTTAACTGTCCCGATGCCGGCGGCAAGTGCAGTAATGGACTATCGAATCAATCAGCTCGCCTTAATTAATCGCTCCGCCTGGTGGAGGATGTGAAAGGATGGGTTCTGCACGCGCGCCTCGCGGTTTAATTAATCTTATTTCGGTCGCCGCGCCGCGGCAGGTTTTGCTGCCGAGCGCTGTCCCACTGAGTTTTTCCGACGGGAGCTGGCCTGGCGGTGTGCCGCTGAGCCGGCCCAGCCTCACCCGGGGCCGTGCCGCCACGGCCGCTCGTGGCGGGACGTGGCGGTGGTGGTCCGGCCTGTGCCAGGTACCGGCGCCCCTGGCATAGCTCATGGACCGCGACCCGCGCAGAGTGGGCGGCCTGTTTGTGATGCTGCGGCCGTGGCTGAGCTTGCCTCTTGGCCCACGCGGCAGGCTCGGCGATGCCGCGGTGACGGCGGTGCCGCGGGGCTTTCCTTCCCATACAGGCGGTGGACAATCTCAAAAACGCTGACGAGCCAGCGCTATACAGCAACCTCAAACGGGCGTGTGTAAAGCTCACGAACGGCTCATCAGGCGATTGTGTCGGCTGCGGTGGCGGCAGACGGCCTCCCGTCACTGACGCGCCAGCCCCAGCGCTCTTCGACGGCGTAACGGGCCCCGTGCCGCGGATGACAAGCCGACAACGAGGCGGCGGCGCGCAGCCTGCCATCTGCCGCCGCGCCGTGCGCCTGGCCGTCCCGATGTAGCACGGGAGCCGCGCCGGCGGGCGCCCGTCCGCGGCGGGCCGCTCGCGCCCGTCGCCGGCGCTGTCCGTGACCCACGCCGGCGGCCGGCGATCGGACCGCGAGAGCTGGGGCCGCCGCGTCCGTGCTGCGGGACGGAGCACGGCTCGGGTCATGTATCTGCCGCGCGGCCCAGCCGTCGCAGCGGGCTTGACCTCCCGCCAATCTCGTCTGGCCCAGGCCAGAGGGCGGAGACACGCGTTGGTTTCGTGACCCTTGATCACGAACTGTCCAAGGTCCAGACGTCAGTGGAGCCGGGCCCCACCATCGACTGACCGGCGTCCGGCGGCTGGGAGCCGCCTCTGAGACCAGGCGGCAGCGGCGGCGCACGGCTCGCGGTTTCAGGCCTGCCACGTCTGCAGTGCGACGGGAAAACTGTGGGACTTGTAACCCAGGCTCAGAGCCATTGCACCGCGGATAACTGAATACGTGCCAGCCTTTATGGCGTTGATTGAAACGAATCAATTTATGACCTGTCTGCTGTGCGTTGCTTCACGAGATATTTCCACCGCGCGGTCCACCAATCGCCTCGCACTTGCGCCGTGCCACATCCAGCGCGACACAGCCGCCGCTGCGGGCGCCGGTAGTGGCTAAACTGCGCGCATGGCAAACCAGATAGCTACACGAGGTTCGGTTCTCCGCGGCGCCTGGCCATACTGCCGGGCTGAGAGACAGGCCATAACCATATGACCCCAGCAGCCGAGTGCGTCGTAAAGCCCCAATGACACACACACTCTCTGTCGCCGCCGCGCAGCCGCTGCAGCTCACCGGCCATTTCGGCGCCGCAAGGAAGCGGCGCCGCAGTCTGGCGGCCAGGCGGCCCATGAAGCCCCGCGGCTCGGGCGGCGGCCGGGCTCCTGATGAGCCCGAGCGGCGGCTCTATTTTCCGCCCGGCGCGCCGTCAGCCGCTGAGCCTGCCGCTCGCGGCCATCAGCCGTGCTCCTGATCGCCCGCCGTCGTCCGCGTGACGCGTGCCGGCGGGGCGGCGCCGAGGAGGGAGGTGACGGCGGTGCCAGCTCGCGCTGTGACATCGGCTGCCGCGTGCAGGTCGAGGTTGGCAGGCGAGGTTTCACGGGTGATCGGGAGGTTTCGAAGATGGGCTGACGTTTTCGAGCGTATATGTGAGAACCGAGCAGCCGGTATTGCAATGCATTCGAGATTCTGAGACGCGTTCAAGCTCACGCATTGCCTTAGGCACTAGACTAAGGGCCCTGCTGCTGTCATGTCATGACGCGTGACTTGAGAGGCTGCGACCCTAATGATCGTAGCCATCACATGCGTCGGTGAACGAGCTAACGACTTGGATACCGCGCGGATGTTTCCGATGAAGCCGTCAGTGTCTCAGGCATGTCTCTGCGCACCCATCAGCGTTAACACGTGTGTAGAGAACGCCCCTGAATCGGCGTACCTGTTCATCCATCGTCACGCTGAGCTAATGAACGCTCTGTACCCGAGTGTTGTGCCAACGCCTGGACATGTTTTGATTCAGAGACGGCCTTTCACAGACGTTTAGTCCGTAACCTTACCTGACGATGGCCTGTGGACCTGACCCTGACCCGACCCGACCGACTGCTGATGTGACCCGTTCTTCCCGCTCAATGCTGACATGACCCTCTCCTACCCGCTTACTGCTGACGTGACCCTCTCGTGCCCGCTCAATGCTGACATGACCCTCTCCTACCCGCTTACTGCTGACGTGACCCTCTCGTGCCCGCTCGCTGCTGACGTGTCCCTCTCCTACCCGCTCACTGCTGACGTGACCCTCTCCCACTCACTCACTGCTGACGTGACCCGTTCCGGCCCGCTCACTGCTGACGTGACCCTCTCCTACCCGCTCACGGCTGACGTGACCCGTTCCGGTCCGCTCACTGCTGACGTGACCCTCTCCTACCCGCTCACTGCTGACGTGACCATCTCCTACCCGCTCACGGCTGACGTGACCCTCTCCTACCCGCTCACTGCTGACATGACCCATTGCTATCTGCTCACCGCTGACGTGGCCCGTTCCGGTCCGCTCACTACTGACGTGACCCTCTCCTACCCGCTCACGGCTGACGTGACCCGTTCCGGTCCGCTCACTGCTGACGTGACCCTCTCCTACCCGCTCACTGCTGACGTGACCCTCTCCTACCCGCTCACTGCTGACATGACCCATTGCTATCTGCTCACCGCTGACGTGGCCCGTTCCGGTCCGCTCACTGCTGACGTGACCCTCTCCTACCCGCTCACTGCTGACGTGACCCTCTCCCACCCGCTCACGGCTGACGTGACCCGTTCCGGTCCGCTCACTGCTGACGTGACCCTCTCCTACCCGCTCACGGCTGACGTGACCCGTTCCGGTCCGCTCACTGCTGACGTGACCCTCTCCTACCCGCTCACTGCTGACGTGACCCTCTCCCACCCGCTCACGGCTGACGTGACCCGTTCCGGTCCGCTCACTGCTGACGTGACCCTCTCCTACCCGCTCACTGCTGACGTGACCCTCTCCCACCCGCTCACTGCTGACGTGACCCGTTCCGGTCCGCTCACTGCTGACGTGACCCTCTCCTACCCGCTCACGGCTGACGTGACCCGTTCCGGTCCGCTCACTGCTGACGTGACCCTCTCCTACCCGCTCACTGCTGACGTGACCCTCTCCCACCCGCTCACGGCTGACGTGACCCGTTCCGGTCCGCTCACTGTTGACGTGACCCTCTCCTACCCGCTCACGGCTGACATGACCCGTTCCGGTTCGCTCACTGCTGACGTGACCCTCTCCTACCCGCTCACTACTGACGTGACCATCTCCTACCCGCTCACTGCTGACGTGACCCTCTCCTACCCGCTCACTGCTGACATGACCCATTGCTATCTGCTCACCGCTGACGTGGCCCGTTCCGACTCGCTCACTGCTGACGTGACCCTCTCCTACCCGCTCACTGCTGATGTGGCCTGTTTCGACCCGCTCACCGCTGACATGACCCGTTCCGACCCGCTCACTGCTGACATGACCCGTTTCTACCCGCTCACTGCTGACGTGGCCCGTTCCGACCGGCTGACCGCTGAGGTAACCCGTTCCGTTCCAGTCGCCACGGCGGACCTGATGGAGTTTTACGCCAACGAGATCGTGCACGACCTGGCGCACCGGCCGTACCTCGAGCTGGGCTGCCACTCCGACTCTGACTCGGAGCCGGTCAACGTCTACAGCGGGCTGGAGACGATAGTCGAGGAGACCTCAGGTGAGCAGCGGCACGGCCGTGGTCCGTGTCGTCACTCCTGATCAGACAGACAAGCGGGCGCTAAACGGTATAAACTCGATCGCCTCATTAGACCCTTCACACCGGCCCGAGCACGTTGGACTGCGCGCTATGCGACGAGGCGGTAGGTAGCTCGCGCGCTACGTGACGAGACGTTAGGTAGCTCGCGCGCTGCGTGACGAAGGAGCGTTCCCAGAGCGCGTGCCGTCGGGGACAAAGTGCGATAAGCCAGGCTGCGGCTCCGGATCTATGTGTCAGGATGGCGGACCCAGTCCGCGCGCTTCATCGAGGCGACGATCGACACCATTTGGTCGTTGCGGTACATGACGACCTCGTCCTTTCGACGCGCCGCTCGACTTCACCCGGAAATAAATCGACCGCATTCGCCGTGCGCGGAGGACCGAGCTTTGTTCGCTGGGTCGTAAGTGGAAGGGCCGTGACGTCATTGAAACGGACGTCGATGTGCTGGGAGACGTACTTCCGCTCTGGTGGGACGTGCCGTGACGTCATGGAAACGTATGTCGTTGTGCTCTGAGATGCACTTCCGGAGTGGTGTGTGGCAGAATAGCGGCACAACGCGGCGCTTTACACGACCGCGCCGCGCTGATGTCGACAGGCGGCGCGCTTTGTTGAAGTCCGGCGCTCCAAAGAGCCGCAGAGAGAGGATTCGGCGACAGCCCCGTTTGTGTATCTCACTGAAAGATGTCCGCGTTTTTCTGACAGCTGTGTTTTTGTGTTGAGACCCTGCTGACTGGTAATGGTTACATCGGGTATAACCAGGACAGAAACTGGTCAAGGCCTGGTGGGACTGGGCTGTCCATCCGGCCGTCCGCCGCTTCGGTTCATCGAAATAAACCGTGAGCCGGCCCCATATTTCGGGCTTTCAGAGACAGCTGCACGCGGCGCGTTGTCGTGCTGCGGATCAGCTCCAATATCGATGGTGATCCGGGGCGGAGGCTTAACAGGGCGCTGCGTAGAGCGGACATCCCCGAAGCCGGGCAATACAGCGCGATCGAGTGCAGGTTATTATTGGTGCGTTTCCCGAGGCACTGACCTGCATTCAAGCGCCCTGCCGACCTGAGGGCATCTCTTTGAATGGAGCTCGGCCGCAGAGCTCGCTCCCCTTTCCCGTCGCGTGGCTGCGGTGCCGGTCTGTCAGGACGTGACAGGCGTTCTGTACCCGTCAACGGGATCGAGGAAAGATTGATGCCGAAAGCGTCGCAACAAACCGGACAATGATGCTTTCACCTGTTGTTTCCAACGCGAAAACGTATATACCTTGGCGTCCGTGTCCCTAATCTGCTTTCTCCATTTACCGTTGCATTAGCGCCGGCATTCGAGGCCTGTCTACAAAAGCTTCACCGTCGTCACGTGCTCGGTAAGCCCCATTAATCGCCGCCGGGTGTTGCGGAGCGGGGTATTTCGATCGCCGCGCAGCACACCCCGCCCCACAGTCGATCTCCATGATTCATGAGGCGGAGTGGAGTTGTTCGTATCGGTTAGATTGGTGCCGGGATTCTTTAGTGGCACCCATTGCTCAGGCCCGTACCGGAGTTAAATCCGGCCGGACGGAGACTCCGAAATGCTGCGGAGGGCTCGGACGAGCCCTGGCGCGGCCTCGGATCCGCCAGTGCTTGCCGTTGCCGGCGTTACGTCACCTACCGAGGGCTGGGCAAGCCTGCGGTGGCCGTGGTGGCCTCGGCTCAACGTGGCCGGGGACCATCACGGAAGGGGATCATGACGTGGCAGGGGGGCTTCGCGCGTCTGGGAACCATGACGTGACCCGGGGACGGTCACTGGAGTGGGGATCATGACGTGACCCGGGGACGGTCACTGGAGTGGGGATCATGACGTGACCCGGGGACGGTCACTGGAGTGGGGATCATGACGTGACCCGGGGACCGTCACTGGAGTGGGGATCATGACGTGACCCGGGGACCGTCACTGGAGTGGGGATCATGACGTGACCCGGGGACGGTCACTGGAGTGGGGATCATGACGTGACCCGGGGACCGTCACTGGAGTGGGGATCATGACGTGACCCGGGGACCGCCACTGAAGCGGTGATCATGACAGGGCCAACAGACCGTCACTGGAGTCAGCGTGCTGCCAAGTGTCGCGCTCCATGACCTGTTGCTGTTCATGGCCGGGTGCTGGCCTGTGCTGGGCTCCATGACTCGGTTGTGTGGTGGCCTGTGTCCCATGCCTTCGTGCAGGCTCGCACTGTGACACACCCAGCTGGCCTTGCTTGGCTCCACCAGGTGTCTCGATTCGATACATATATGCAGCTGGATCGAAGTGTCGTGGAATACAAATTAGCCGTTTAAATCCGGGCCATGCGATGTTTGATAGCACCATTTTGGTCAGTTTTCATGATATCAAAATTGTGCTTTGTGCAGGTAGACAACGCGGAAAAAGTCCTGTCTGTGGATGGGAGGCAGCACTCAGTCTGCGTATGGACCTGATGGCGTACCTCCAGTGTATCATCTCCGAGCTTCTGGTGTCACCGGAGGGGATGCTCTAGTTCTTCGTTGACCATTGTTTACAAACGACCGGCTTATGATTGGGGTACTCAGGGGTACCTCAATTAATTCGTAGGCTCGTATTAAGTTTCGGAAACAGCTTTCTTGTCGACAGGGCAGTACCAAGCCGCCATTGGCGTGGGCTGTGAATCACATGCAGTATCGTCATAATGCGTGCTCTGTGCCACGAACAAATCACACGCAACGACGCAGGTCACTGTGAAATTTGGTCCGTAAACACGCCTAGGTCAAAGACCCGGCCGCTTTCACCTGAACGCAAACCCGGCTCGCGCACGCCAGGCTGTGGTTGTTTGAAGCGACCACGGCATGGCATTGCTGGTTTCACCGCGAGCTTGTTAACCCAAGACTGATGTTTTCCGGCCACGGTTGACCACCGTGACCAGAAAACGCTGGCACCGAGCACAGCGAAAAAGGACCCTGTCTATCATGTGAAGAGTCATGTCGATAGGCGAGACTGCCCGGCCCCGTAAAGTGCTCGTTGTTTTCATGAGCGCGATACATCCAGTACTGCTAGTGAATGCGCGTATTCAGTATGATGCATGGGTGGTACGTCTCCCTGCATGTGCATATTTGCGTGCTTGCGTGCGCTTAATTACCCCAGTGATTAAGATATTTGCGAACTAACCCTTGAGCTGTCAACAAGAGCAGCTTTTTAGCGCGGCGAGGGTGGGGCCGGCCACGGCGTGCACGTGAGCATGTCAGAAGTGACCGTGATATGCCACCTTTGGAGAGAGGCGGCGGCAGGCCGTGCAATGGCGTGCTGACAATGGCGACGAAAATAATGCTCTTTGCAAGGAGCTCACTCCGCATTGTCGCTCCGCTGGATTTCTTTCCACATACATGTCTGATTGATGTTTATCCATGCGGTGCACACGATTCACTGCGGACGATGCCACCCGGTGTGATGCCTGGCCTGTCAGGGCAGGTCAGTTCTAGTAATTTGCATTTGCCGCTCACCGTGCTGACGAAGGGTGACGCCCACCGGGCCGCTCCATCAGTCGGTGCCTGCCCCTACGGGGGCCGGTGTCGGCCGGCTCCACCCCGCTCGGGCCTGCCCCCACGGCGCCGGTGTCGGCTGGCTTCACCCCGCTCTGGCCTGCCCCCACGGCGCCGGTGTCGGCTGGCTTCACCCCGCTCGGGCCTGCCCCCACGGCGCCGGTGTCGGCTGGCTTCACCCCGCTCGGGCCTGCCCCCACGGCGCCGGTGTCGGCTGGCTTCACCCCGCTCGGGCCTGCCCCCACGGCGCCGGTGTCGGCCGGCTTCACCCCGCTCGGGCCTGCCCCCACGGCGCCGGTGTCGGCCGGCTTCACCCCGCTCGGGCCTGCCCCCACGGCGCCGGTGTCGGCTGGCTTCACCCCGCTCGGGCCTGCCCCACTGCCGCGCGACCGGCGCCGAGTGACTCGTCAGCCGGCGCTCAGCGAATACGGCGCCAGCGGAGCGGGACGCCGACCCAAATACAGCGGGAGCCCGGCATCGATTGACGCGCCCTCTTCACAGCAACTGCTCGGTCACGGTGCGACGGCACACGCGAGCGGACAGCCGAAGGGGGAAAGGGGGAGGGGCACAGTGACACACCGGCTGATGGGACCGGGGCGGCTGCCATCGGAGGTCGGGATCGTCCGAGGGCGTGTTGCGGTGCTCCCCAATGTGTTTATTCCGGAGGAGATGAGAACAAATATTTTGAACGACATAAACAAGGTGGCGGGAGAAAGTGTGAGAATCAGTGCGGGGTTCTCAGAGTATGTGGTTCGCAGCTTATCTCCGTCCCGTCGGTCCCCTCGCGGTGTGCGCTCGACTGCACGGAATCCCCAGACCCCTTCCCGCTCAGCGCGGCAGGCATTCTCCGCCGACAACACTATTCATTGCCAGCGAGAAAAAATTTCCACATAGAACGGGAGCTGAACAAACACCAGTGACCCCACCTCGCCCGTGACCTCCCGTCAAGCCCACGCCATTCTGTGCATATATACCCAGCGAACAGCCCGACAGCCCAAACAGCGGCGGCGGCGCGGCCGAGCTATCGACCTGCCACCTGTTGGGCCGTTGCCGTGACTGCCGCCTCGGCCGCTCCTACCACGCCCGTCACCAAGCCGGGGCCGGACCCGGCCGCCGACGGGCCGCGCGGTCACGGGCACGTGGACCGTGTGACCCGTGAAATGTGTCACGATCTCCTCGTGCCATTTCTGAGCTCGTGAGAGTTGCGACTGGCGAGGTCAATACGCGCCAGAGTGGGCGCGGAGCGGGCGCGGAGCGTCCGGGCGCGCCGGCCGCGTGCCTCTGTCGGCGGCGCTGGGGCTGCGTGCCTCTGACGCCGGTGCCAGGCGTGGGGGAATGTCCACTCCCGCCGACGCTTGAGACGTGGCAGGGAATGCTCGGCCTATCTCAGCTCACGGCGCTCGTGACGAGCCTGGCGGGCCGTTCGGCGCCGATGTAGAACGGTCGGTTTCGTCGCCTGGCCGACGGCGATTCCATGGCCACGTTCCGGGGATAGTTGACATGTGTACCGCGATGGCGGACGTGTATACTGCGTCATCCGCTTCCGGGACTCTGCGGCGGAGGTGGTTTGTTGATGTGGTCCGGCATACCCTGCGCCGTGCATGCCTCCCGCGGTCACATAGGTGATTCCAATGCAGCCAGGAAATCGCAAAATCAGCACGCTCCTGAAACTGAGATCGGTTGAAACGAAACGTCATGGCATTCTCCCTTCGGGGTGCAGCGTCATGTGCGAACTGGCACCCATACATGCGCTCTGTGTCCATGCAAATCATATATCGCAATCGCAGTATCACATTGCCTTTAATTTTATTAGTAACTTTGAATACTGCCAGAACAAATTTCTTCTGTATTACGAAGGAAAACGTGCATTTCCCAGGTGTGCTCCGTCCATCTCCAGAATAGGGCACGGAGCGCCCCTGCCCCATTCGCGGCTGTGACGGTGCGTGCGCGTCACCAGCCCGGCCCGCCAGCTGACGCGGCTCGCTCGCTGTTGCAGACGACATGCGCAGCGACACGGAGAGCCTGCGCTCGGGCCCGGCCAGCTGGGCCTGGTCGCAGGACTCGGCCGACGTCGAGACCGTCATCGACGCCGGCGGTGGCCGCGACTCCCGCTTCGAAGGTGAGTCGGTGCCGGCCGCGGAGGCGGCTGCGTGGGTGGCGAGCGAGGCTTCGGGGCGATGGCTGCGGATGGTGGGAGGCTCGGCTCCCGTTACACTAACTTGTGCTCAAGTTAGCTGAGTTTGGCATTTCTCGTGGGATGACACCCTTCGCACCAGGTTTTCAGGGTCCGCTTTCCTCAGTGCTCTCCATCCGTGACGGAGCGCCCTGGACAAAGGCCCTCGCAACTGCGCGACCGGTGAACGCTTAGGTCGTGGCGGGTACGAGGCGTTACCAGGCGCGGGGGCCGGTCCACGCCGCCGTCGCGCACCGGGGAGCGTTGGGAAACGGCGTCGAGCGCCTCACGTCGCACGTCCAGCGGCCGCCGGTTTTGCAAGGCGGCGGCTGCGGCGGCGGCCGTTGGGCGGCACGCGCCGCCGTCAGTGACCCGTCGCGTTCCGCACGACCCCGCGACGTTTGCGTCAGCGCGGAGGACGGCGGCGGGGCGGCGGCGTCACGGCGGCGGGCGCGAGGCGTGGCCGGCCGCCGGCACCTCACCCTCCCGTCGCGCGTGTCGTGTGGGGACGACAGAGGGCAGTCAGTCTCATGGACGACCGGCCGCGCGCCGCGAAACGAACCCGGCCGGTGCGACAGTGCGACTCTGCGGGATGCGACCATTGGAGCAGCTGGGCATGGGCAGAGGCCACTGAGGGAACGGCTGATAGGACAGCTGATATTTTTTGTCGTAAAGTAACGCGATATCTGGCTATTTGTAGGCACGGCCCACTGTGAACCTGGATGCGACAGTCGTTTGAACTTCCTGACGTCCTGACGCGGTTCAAAGCGTCTCGTTTGTAACGTCTCCTTGCGTAAGTTTTCGTCGATCGTACCGATCGTCCTCCCTCTGTTTTCATTTGAACCTCTGTGCTGCTTTCTCCAGCCGTTGGTCAGGCCACACAGGCCTCCCCCATCGCCGGGGAGTGGGGTGGACAGCGGTGGCCCTGTCCTCTTTTTGTGCGGACGGCTGCCGGCGGCCGGCCCGCCGCCGCCGCCGCGGCCTCGCCGTCGTCCTGCGTGCCGTACCGGAGGCCGCTGAGGCGGTCCACCGTCCGCCATTAACCGGCACCATATGGCGGCTCCATTAGCCGTCGCCGGGTCGGTGGCCTCGGTGCGGTGCGAAGTTCTGTTGGTCGGTCCAGCGCGGCGTGGTCAAGGCTGGGCGCGAGCTCGGGGCGGTCTGCTCGTGCAGGCCGAGGCAGTCACAGTTCACCGGAGTTTTAACAGTTGTGGTCCGGGCCGGTCCAGACCCACGCCGACGACGTCTCAAGACCAGCGTACACGTCAGCGACAGGGGGCTGTATGGGAGCGCACTGCGAACCGGCGTCGGGTGGACATTCCAGCGTCGTGCACAGTCCGCAGACACTGCATGGGGCAAGGCGCGCTCATCCCAGAACCTCGGCGCCAGGGCTCTGGTAACCGCTGCCCCCACCGGCCGGGCAGATATCGACCGAAATGTTTGTACGTGTGTGCTTTTGCTCCTCGCGCGACAGGAAGAACAACACAGACGCGGTGGTCTGTACAAGGTCCGGTCATTAATCATGTCAAAAACGGTAGCCTCGGCCCAAGTATTACGTCTCTAATGGACCATGAACCAGCACCTCCGGACGTCACCACTGGCGCGCCAGGCGCGCCGTCCCGGGGCACCATGGCGGCCGTTCGATCAGACCCGCGCCGGCCCTGGGAGGTCGGAGTTCTCAGCGGCTTCTCGCTGCCGTCTCGCCTTCCGTCCTCGGCTCATTAGTCACAACTGCCAGAGCCATTCTCCGCCCCTGCTCGTGGGAGAGTACCGCCGCCGCCCCGGGCCGGGTCCACGCGTGGGAAAGCCGCCGCCGCCGCCGACCCCGCCTCCGGCTGTGGTCTGTCTGGCCCGGTCTGGCCCGGTCCGGTCCGGTCCGGTCCGGTCCGGTCCGGTCCGTTCGGGGGCTGCCGGTGAACCGTCGGGGACCGAGCGGATGGACGGGGTGGGGCGGGCGGGGCGGCAGTCGGCCCCCCCCCCCCCCCCCCCCCCCCCCGCGGCAGGTGCTCACCGGACGCCGCCGGGCGTCAGCCGGACAGCTGCAGCTGCTGACCGGTGCTACAGGCATGCGTCAGCTGCAGTACGCCTTGTGAAGTCCGGAGTTGAACAGCTAGTGGAATGCGCTGGAAATCTGTGTCACGTTTCCTCATAGTGAATCGGGCTTTCAACCGCAGGGATGATTTGTGATTTCGTGAAATGGGTAGACGAGGTAGATGGCCGGCGGGAAACGCGTCCAGTGTTGCAAACGGACTACAACAGATTGTCTCGGTTCAGTGTCAGTATAATTCCGGGGCTGATGACAACCGGGGCTTCAAAAGGGACGAAATAGCTCTAAACGAGTTGTTTGCGTGCCATGCAAATGACTTCACAAACGCTCGTGACTTACGCTCCACGTGGTACCATTTATATTGCACTGAACTGTGAGCGTGGCATTAGCCGGCCCGGTTGTGGGGCTGTGAAAGACAGACCTTCTGGCGGGTGAGCGCATATTTTTGACGATCATGCCCAAAACAGTACCAATTCGACCTAGATCACGGATGTACCCGGCGGAAATGCTCACCTCCACGGTTCGTTCTGTTCGCTCATTCTTGCCTGACAGGTTTAGCTAAGCGCTTTGCTCCTGGCTTGCTTTCAATTATATGTGAGAAGAATATCTTACGGGCTGCATTTTCGCTTTCCTTGCGTTTTGACTGATGGGATTTGTGTTTCTTTGCAGTATAGTTACGGATGAGAATAAATACCCCACTGAGTTCGTGGAAGTTAAGATATGCTCACAGTTCGAATGTGAACAGCTCGACCCTTTGTGTCACTCACGTGTTAAGTTCAGGTGTGAGAGGCACCGGGCGTCAGATGGGCGACGCACCACTAGAGAGCTGAGGCCCCGCCACGTAATTTAGTAGCTATCACAAACAGCAAACCAGCACTTAATTACCACCGCCTAAAGGCATCCAGCTGACCAACTCACCTACGGATAGGTGCGAGATGACCCTGACATAACCAGCCCGTCTCTGCCTTCGCAGATGACTTCAACCCGATGGCCGGGCTGGACGCGGCGCTGGCGACCACAGGTAAACTCTCGCACGGCGCACCGGCGCCCGGCGCCGACGGCCGCCTCCCCGATCTCAAATACAAACAGCTGTTCGATTTCGAGGCGTTTCTCAAGTCGGGCGGCACGGACCCGAGCCTCCTGGGCATCGGACCGCCGTCGCCGTCCCAGCTGCCGTCGCTGGACACGACGTTCAGCACCAGCGCCACCCTGTACCCGTTCTCGGACACGGCCCAGGCGGCGCCACCGTCGCCGCCCTGCCCGGCGCGTCAGGCAACGTCCGAGTTCCGGCTGGGTCGGGTCGAGCGCTCCTACTACACGAACCCGTTCGTCAGCCTGCCGCCGTGTTCGGCCGAGGGGCCGCCAGAGCTGGTGTTCAGCCTCGAGGACGTGCTGGACCACCGGTCGGCGGCCGCCGGCGCGCCTGGGAACGGCGCCGAGCGCGCTCCCACCGGCGGCGCGCCGAACGCCGTCCGCGAGGATCGGTCGGTAGCCGGCGATTTACAGCCGGGTGGCGGCGCCGGCGGCGCCAAGGTCCTGGGAGCGCCCGGTAACGGCTCATTTGGGGTCGCCGCGGCGGAGCGAGCCGCCGCCGGCGGTGGCGTGCGTCCCAGTGACGGCCGCGCATCGGAGGCGGTCGGCTGCGAGTCGGCGTCGGAGCGCGCGCCTGGCACGACCCCCGCCGCCGCCATCGATTCCAAGTGGGACCTGGGCAGCTGCGAGGACTTTGAGAACCTGAACCGACGCATCGAGTCGCTAACGTACGACTTCGAGGAGGAGGAGCGGCGCAGTCTGGAGTACATCGTGGACGACGAGGGGCCGGAGCGGCGCCCGGCGCCGCTGGAGGCCGATGAGGAGGAGGAGGCGCCGGCGCGCGCGCGTGACCCACGCGTGAAGCGCTTCCACAGCTTCGGCGACCTGAGCATGATCACGGAGGACGAGCTGCAGGAAGCAGGCAGCGAGCAGAGTCTCACCAACAGCGACACGGAGAAGGGGTCGAAGCCGGCCTCGCCCGGCTCGGCCGACTCGGCCGGCGGCGCGGGCGAGCGGCGCCAGCGGCGGCCGACCCGCCTGGGGCTCCTGAGGCATTCAAGCGAAAACCTCAGCGAAGACTCAGGCTACGGCGACCACACGGTCGACCGCGTCAGTCCCCAGGACCCCTCCGGCCGCTCCGCCAGCCTTCCGCAGAGCAGCTCGCCGCCGGCGACGCGCGCCTCGCCGCCCAAGCGGCCCAGTCCGCTCGGCCGACTGTCAAAGTCGACCTCCGACCTGAGCCCGTCGTCGCAGCGGCGCCGTCGCCTGCTCGAGCTGATTTCGCGCGACGAGGAGCGGCGCGCGCGCCTCTACGCCGACGCGCGCCCCTCCGACGCATGGCTGCCGGGCCCGCGGCTGGCCGACGCCCCGCCCCCCGTCGCCGGCGACGGGGGCGAGACGGCGGCCGAGCGCGCCGAGCAGACGGACGTGGAGAGCGTGCTCGTGCTGCTGGAGAACGAGGAGAGCAACTCAGTGATCCAGGTGCTGCGGGAGAGAGTGGCGATGGCGCGGCCTCACGACGCCATGGCCTGGCCCGTGCCGGCGCCGCGCTCGCTCGGCCGCGCCGCCGCAGCCGTCTACCAGAACGTGCCGCCGAACGCGCGCGCCGCGCGCGAACGCGACGCGACGCGCCCGACCGCGCCGGCCGCCACCGATCGCGACCCGCGCGTCAAACGGGACATCGAGCAGTTCGAGCGCATTAAGGAGGCGTTCCTGGAGAAGGGCACGTACAACATTTACGACGACATGGTGAGTTGGCGCTCGCCGCAGAAGGCGTTTGGCCGCACGCGCTCCACGCCTGACCTGTCGCTGGATTTGTCGGCGGAGGAAGCGGCCGACGGCTGGGCGGCGATCGTGCAGGAGTCGCCGCGACCGCGCTGTTTTGAAAAGTTGGCGCCGTCGGCGCAGGAAACGCCTGTTTCGAACGAACGCGTTTGTGTCAACAAAGGGTCCAGTGAAATAGAACACGAGTCGGATGACATTCAAGGCCGCCGGTGCGGAGCCTCGCGAGGGTGGGCCGGATCGGATGGCGAGCCGCGCGACATCTATCTGTCGGAGAGCCAAGCTGAGCTTCTGCCCATGTACCGCTCGTCGGCGGGCCGGCCGAAACCACTGGATCTAAAATTGGCGGAGGAATTCCTGCTGCTAGAGGGCATGGAAGGGGAGGGTTACGCGCCCGACGCATACCAATACGACCCTCCGTCCCCGCGCGGCGCCTGCCATTCACAACCGGCGGTCGGCGTGCCACCGGTCGGAGAAGCGGTGGAGCCGGGCTCTCCGCCAATAGGAGAGGCGGACGAGTGGGCCACCCGCCCTGCCGCAAGCGCCTGTGACGCGCCGGCTGGAACGCGCAAGAGCCACAGCCTGTGGAACCTGTCGGGAGTGCGCGATGTGGCCGCGCCGGACGAGGTCACGTGCGACTGGCAGCGCTCGCGCAACCGCAACGGCGCCTGGCTGTTGAGCAAGAGCGTGCAGGACCTGTGGTCGGCGGACAACATGGACTCGCCGCGCCGGCTCGACTACTACAACCAGACGATGGAGTGGCCCGGCAGCGGGGACTACCTGGCCTGCGAGCCGGACGAGTACTGGGCGCGGGCCGCTTCGCCACGCCGGCCGCCGGCCACGCCGCTAAATTTAGACGCGCCAGGCGGCGGCCCCGTGTGCGCCGAAGTGAGCTTCTGCCAGGCGGCCGACGTGTGCTCCGGCTGGTTACAGGCCAGTATGGAGCCGGAGGCGAGCGAGCAGCGGTCACTGAACGGCCAGTTCTTCGAGCCGACGGCGAGCGACGCGGCACGGCGCACCGGACGTCCGCTGACGCTGAACGGCGACGAGCCGGCCGGCCCGCTGCGGACGATGAGCGCCAACAACTCGTTCACGGCGCGCGTGCCGGTGAAGGCGTACGGGGCGCGCAACGATGTGGAGGTGTACATCAACCGCGCGCCGGCGCCGGCGCCGGCGACGGAGCCGGAACCGGAGCCGGAGCCAGCGGCGGCGTCCCCGGACGCCGTGGTGGTTGCGGGCCAAGGTGCGAGGCGTACAGTTCAGTCCGGTGGTGTCGGAGGTGCAGTGGCGGGAGAGTTACCTGGACGACGAGCCGGGCGCGGCGCCGGCCGCCGAACGCCGGCCCATGCAGACTTTCCAGCGGCCGGATCGGGACGACCCGGCCCCGGCCCCGTCGGCTCCGCCGCCGACCCCGCCGCCGCCGTCGGCCGTTGGGGCTCCGCCGCCGCCGTCAGCGTCGGAAGAGGCTGAGGACGGCCAGGCCGCTGCGCAGAGTCGACCCTGCGAGCGGAGGCCGGCGGCGGCGGGCGACAAAACCGACGCCGCGACCGAAGGCAGCGCCGCCGCAGCCGCCTCCGAGGTCGACGAAGAGCCTGGCATCGGCGGCGGCGGCACCGGCCCCGCCGGCCCGCAGCTCACCGCCGCCGCCGCCGCCGCCGTCCGTGCAGAAGGCGAGGCCGGAAGCGGGGGCCGTCGGCGGCGAGACAGCCGACGGCCGGGGAGCGAGCCGAGAGCGGTGGGGTGGCCGTGCCGCGCGCTGTGCCCCCGCCGACGGTACCGAAGAGCGCACCGCCGCCCAAGACATACCCGCCCGCCCCCGTGGACTCAGCGGCGGAGACGCCGACGGGCGACGCGGCCGCCAAGTCCGCGCCGGGCGAGCCGGTGCGGGGCAGGCGGAGCGGCGGCCAGCCGGTGACCGTCCGGCTGCAGGGTCCGAAGCCGGACAAGGCGGAGAAGCCGGAGAAGCCGCCCAAAACGTCCGTGCTCGTGCGGCTGGGCCTGGGCCGGCTGTCGGGCGGCAGGTCCAAGCCGAAGGTGCCGCCCAAGCCGGAGAGCATCAAGCCGGCGTCTCGCTCGCCGTCGCCGCGTTCGCCACCGTCGGAGCTGCCCAGTCCGATCGCCTCGACGCCGAACGACGACTCGCGCCGCTCGGTGTCGCCGTTCGGTGCAGACGCGGCCACCTCCACGCCGGTAGCCGCACAGAGAACTCTCGCACCGGCGCCCGTTGTCCGGCAGCAGGCGGTTGAGGAGTCGCCGCCGCTGCCGCCGCCGCCGCCGGCGCCGGCTAAGGCGGAGTTCCGCGCGCCGCCCAGCCCCGTCGTACGGGCCAAGTCGCTGTCGCTGCCCAAGGCAGCGAACATTGCGCTGGACGCGGCAGGAACGGCCCCCGATCCCGCCGAGTCGGCCGCCGCCGGCCGGCCGGCCACCACCAAGCCGCCGCTGCCGCCGCAGGCGCTGCGCGTACAGACGCAGGCGGCGCGCGCCCGACTGACGAGCGCCCGGCGCAACTTCTTCCAGCTGGAGCAGCAGCGCGTGATCCCGCTGCGCTCGGTGCCCGCGGCGCCCATCCCCGACTCGGTGGCGGCGACGGCGCGGCCGGGCGGCGCCGCGGCCGAGATCAAAGACGCGTTCGAGCGGTTCCGGCAGCGCGCGCGCGAGGATCGCGAGCGGCTGGCCAAGAGCACGCCCAACCTCAGCCTGATCGAGACGGCGACGCGGAGTCTGGTGCGGCCGCTGCCGCTGCCGCCGCCGCCGCCGCCGGCGCCCGCCCGGCCGCCTATTGATCGGCCGTCAGGCCGCGCCGAGCAGCGGTGCGCCGACCACGACGACGACCACTCGGTGACGCTCCAGGAGGAGGGCAATGTGGTCATTCTGCACGCGGCGGGCGGCGCGCGCGCGGCGCGGCCCAGCAAGAGCCGGGACAGGTTCGCGCAGCGGCGTGCGGCCGCGCTGGCCCGGGCTCGCAGCCGGAGCGTGGGCGTGCTAGAGACCGACCTGGACTCGCCGTCGGCGGGCCAGCGGCCGCCGCCGGAGACGGACCTGGACGCCATCGTGCGCAGCCTGCAGGAGTGCATCGACGAGGCGTCTCCCAACAAGGAGAAGGCCAAGAGCCTGCTCAACCTGGACAAGAACATGGAGTTCACGCTGGCGCAGGGCGTCGACTCGCGCGCCAAGTCGATGGAGTTCCTGCTGGACGACGAGAACAAGAGCGCCGTGCAGGTGAGTGGACCGCCGCCCGACGGCGGCTGGGCTGCCGCAGACTCCGGCAGCGGGCGGCGATCGCCAGGCTGTCGATGGCCGCTGTCGATCAATGCTGTATGGTGTACCGATCTCTCGCGCCCTCTGTCCCTCACTGTCCTCTGTCTCCTGCGGCCCGCGCGGCGCCCTCGCCGCCCGACCGTGGTTTATTTGTTGTGTTATTTACGTCCTGGCGCGGGCTGAATGGAAGCCTCGGTTTAATTATTTATCTGCTCGGTCGAGGCCAGTCGTCGCCCTCTGCTCTATACACATACCGGCTGTGCACACATCCACCCTTGTTAGGCATCATTGTCCACACATTCGAGGTTTCCGTCCCTCATCCTTCCATTCTCCTCCTTCGTTTTCCCGGGCGGACCGTTGTTTGTCCCGTTCGCCATCAGTTTACCATTTCTTCATTCTGTTGTCATCGCCCTCTCGCTCCCCGCTCCCAGCTGTTGTGCCACTTCCTCGCCACGCCGTCTTTTGGCCGGCACGGGATCCCTCGCATTCCCACACGCCGCGTTCATTACGGCCCGATCGCGTCCCCCGCACCCCACCTTTCCGCCATCGCCGGCCTGATTAGACGACCACCGGCCGCACACGGTCCCTCCGCAGAACGAGCGGGGTCGGCACGCGCCGCGCCCGTCTAATTAGCAGCCGATTATTCAGCCCCGCGCGCCGTTGGGCGCAGTCTGTGTCCGCGCCGCCGGCCCAGGCCGCGGGCGCGGGCGCAGCAACAAACCATTAACGTGGAGACGGCTCCAGGATGCCGGTAACTGCCTCGCACTCGGGTGGGGTGCGTTCGATAAGCCGGGAGCGCATCGTGCGAGTGTGCGGCGCTTGACCAGCCCGACCCGAGGCGCAGTCGACCGGTCCGGTCCGACCGGTCCGCTGCCCCCGTGCCGGGCGGTCCGGGTCCCATTCAACCGGTGTTTTCATGTCGGCGGGGCGGGCGTGCGCCCGGCGTCTATTTTAGCCGCCCGCGTCGAACGCTGACGCGCCGTCAGTCATCACAGCCGCGGCCGGTGTCGGCCGCACCCCATCCGCAGCCGGGAGAACGGCGGCGGCCTCGGCTCGCTCACGGCTGCCGGCGGCCCGCCGAGCGCCCGCGCGGTCCGACGGTGCGGCGGCGGGACGGCGCGCCGGGGGTCGCTGCGCAGCCTGACGCTCACGACTGCCGGCGGCCCGCCGAGCGCTCGCGCGGTCCGACGGCGCGGCGGCGGGACGGCGCGCCGGGGGTCGCTGCGCAGCCTGACGCTCACGACTGCCGGCGGCCCGCCGAGCGCTCGCGCGGTCCGACGGCGCGGCGGCGGGACGGCGCGCCGGGGGTCGCTGCGCAGCCTGACGCTCACGACTGCCGGCGGCCCGCCGAGCGCTCGCGCGGTCCGACGGCGCGGCGGCGGGACGGCGCGCCGGGGTCGCTGCGCAGCCTGACGCTCACGTGCCGCCGGCCGCCGAGCGCTCGCGCGTCCGACGGCGCGGCGGCGGGACGGGCGCGGGGTCGGAGCGCAGCCTGACGCTCACGGCTGCCGGCGGCCCGCCGACGCCCGCGCGCCGACGGCGCGGCGGCGGGACGGGCGCCAGGGGTCGCTGCGCAGCCTGACGCGGCGGAATCCCGCGGTGGCCGGTGACGCTGGCGAAGGCTGAGTCGTGTGGCTTTAGGCACGCGGCAGCGGCGGCGCGCGTCTCTAAGGACCGGACCGGACGCCGACACGTGGGCGGTGGCGCGGCGCGGAGGGAGGGGCGACGCGCACGTGCCGGCCGCCGGCGGCGGTCGCGAGCCCTCCGGCCCTCGGCGTTCTCCCCGGGGCGGCCGATCAATGGACGGCCTTGTCAGGCGGCCGCCCGCCGGCGCCGGGGACATCTCGCCGCGCGGGGCCGGGCGGACGGCGCGCGCGCCGACCACTTGCAGCGATGACGCGGCGCGCTGCAGCCGCCGCCCGTGCGCTATCATGAGCCCGTGCACTTGCATCGGACGTCAGTAAACAGAGGCGCCCACTCTCCGGCGAGCTCGGCCGGGCGCCCACTTCCCGCACGGCCCTCTCGACGGACGGACCGCGGCGCTCGCCGCCCCGACCCGACCCGAGCCGACCCGGCCCCGCCCCTCGGCCTCGAGCTCGGCGCAGTCTTGGCCGCCTCCGGACGACTGGGACGCACGGTCGAGCGCCGCTCTAGGCCAGGTCACCGCCAGTGTCAGGATGCAGCAGCCCCCGAATCTGCGGCACACCAGGTCTCTGAGAGAGGTAAGAGCCGGCGGCGGGCGACGGGCGGCGGAGGTCGGCACGCGGCGCTCGGTGGCCGGCCGGGCGTGGCTGGGGCGCTGGCCGGTGCCGGCCACCGCGACACGCGGAGCTCAGAGCCGGTGGGCCGCGCCCTGGGAACTGTCGCCGGAGCTGGGGCGGGGCGCCCCGCACCGCGCCGTTTGCCGGCTGCACGCGGCGCGGCGGGTGCTGGCGCCGCCGCCGCCGCCGGCGCCGGTTCGGCCGCGGGCTGGTGCGTGTCCGCCGTGTCGGCAGCAATCGTCGGCCTCTCCGCAGCCTGGGACCTGTCATCTCGGCCGCGCGGGCGCCGGCCACGCCCATGTGTCGCCCCCCCCCCTCTCGCTCGGAAGGGGGCCGCGTCGCGGTCCGGGCCGGTCGACACAGAAAGTCGCTCTCAGCGCTGGCGTCCACTCTATTTCTCCGCAGTGCGGAGTGCCTCGTTGGATCCAAAGTCTGGCTGCCAGCGCCGGTCTCAGCGCCACGGACGGAGTGTGAGTGAACGGACGGGCTCTGCAGGCCACCGTTCAGCGCGACATGAACTTCACAGCAATCTGGGCGAACCATCGCCAGCAAGGAACGGCGCAATGCGTCGTGACGACGTGCAAGGTGTTATGTGCAGCATAATTTCACACAGTAGATGAATGTAAATTGCTCTTAAGCCACTTTCGGACTGTTCAATCGCGTAACGAGGGGTGTCCAGCCGCAAGATTACACTTTAAATGCTAGATAACCATTTAAGCCACGAACAGCGTTGTTTTCCCGGGAGTGTGAAAGTTAGCCTTGGTCGTTTCACTGCAATCGCCTTTGCGGGGCGTCGGCGGACCCTTGAAGCCCTGCCAGTGGCGGGCTCTGGTCTGATAAAGCCTGATAGCCGTCTGTCGTCGACTGAGAGAGCGACTGTAAACAGAGACCGGGTGACGTAACCACTCCAACCTGCCCCCCTCCAACTGGACCACCCGAGCGGCCGGGAGGCGGCCCGCACTGCCCCGCCCCCTCCCCCCGCCACTCCGGCCTCTCCCCGTGAGCCTGTGCGAGTCCGACTATCGAGTGACGTGTTCCGTGGGAAGCTGCGGAACATATGCCGTCCAGACATGCCTCTGTATCAATCGCGCGTTTTCGTCATCAATGTCTCGCCCAAAATAAGGTCCGGCAGGCGGTCCCGCTTCCCGTTACCGCTGATGGGAGTGGCATGCGTCCTGCAGCGCAGCCGCGCGCGCGGACCCTCTCCGTGCACGGCCTCCCCGCCGGACCCGGCTGCAGCCGACCGGCATCTGGCGCCGCTCGTGCGGCCGGCGCCGGGCTGTGCGCGGCGGGCCTGTATGTACCGTTGGGCGGCGCTGCCCGGCCCGACCTCGGCCTCTCGACCGCCGGCCGAGGTTTGACCTCGCCGCAGTGCCCGCCGACTGGGGGTCAGCTCAGCTGGCGGCCGGCCACGCGGCGGACACTCGCTGTGTGTCCGCGGACAGAGGACTCTGCCGTTGTGTCCGGTCGGCGGAGGGCGGACTCTCGCTGTATCCACGAGAGCGGGACAGTCTTATCCGCGACGTACGCCGACGTCTGGCGGACTACGCCACAGGTCCCCACTGCCACGGCTGCGGGCGCGGACCGGAATCGGGCGCCGTCCGTTACACGGCCGCACCTCAGATGTAGCTGCACTGCCGGAAACACCAGGTCTGTCCCGGGGGACCTCCAGCCGCCCCGTGGGATCTCCAGCCACCTCGGGGGACCTCCAGCCACCTTGGGGGACCTCCAGCCGCCTCGAGGCCCGTCGAGGCGCGGCCGCTGCCGCCGCCGCCGAGGGGGACGGGGGGGGGGGACGGGGGAGGAGCCGTGCCGTGGCGTCATCACGCCGGTATGTGCGGCGCCTCGCGCCGGGCCTAGCGCCCGCATCGTTGATGAGCATTAACTCAAGGCTGACCTGCACCGCGGCCGCCGGAGCCGCCGTGCCGTGCTGTGCCGCGCCGTGCCGGGTCCGCCGTGTTGCAGCGTTGTTTGCGGACGACGCTGACCCCCCCCCCCGTGCCCTCACATTCAGTGTCACATTGCAACTGCAGCCGTGCAGGGCGGTGAGCGTAGTTTAAGCTGTCACAACGCAACCACGCGCGGAGGCAGAGAGAAAAAGTGGGAGGTGTGGGGTTGCTATGGGCGCAAAAATGTGCCCGTACCGCGGTCTGTATAGCCGGGTTTAGAGAGCGGTGGTCTAAGCCGTGCTTTTTGTGGAAAAGACCGCTGAGCCACGATTTCTGCAGAGAACAGACGCCGCATCCCCGCTGGATCCGGCTACGCCCGATGACAGCGGCCATGTGGTCGACGAGCTCTGTCAGCGATGCGCTCGGTCAGCCGTCGGTCTGTCCCGCTCCGTCCGTCCGTGCATTCCAGGACCTGGCCGCGATGACGAGCGTGTGGTGGTATTTACCGGAGGCCGCGGTGACGGCCGCGACCGCGCCTCCTCTTTGCACGACCCACTTCCGCGCGGTCGGTGCGCCTGTCCGCCCCTGGCTTCCCGGTGCACCGACCGGCGGCGGCTGCAAGGGAGCTGAGCTCAGCACCCAGTCTGGGTCAAGCCGAGCTCGAGTCGAGCCGCCGTCGGCCCGGCCGAGTCAGGTCTGAGTCGAGCCGCCGTCGGCCCGGGTCGGGTCGAGTCGAGTCGAGTCGAGTCGAGTCGAGTCGGTGTCGGCCCGGGTCGAGCCGAGCTCGAGTCGAGCCACCGTCGGCCCGGGT